AAAAAAATACAACAAGGGGCACCAACTCCAAAAAAATACAACAAGGGGCACCAACTCCAAAAAAATACAACAAGGGGCACCAACTCCAAAACAATACAACAAGGGGCACCAACTCCAAAAAAAATACAACAAGGGGCACCAACTCCAAAAAAATACAACAAGGGGCACCAACTCCAAAAAAATACAACAAGGGGCACCAACTCCAAAAAAATACAACAAGGGGCACCAACTCCAAAAAATACAACAAGGGGCACCAACTCCAAAAAAATACAACAAGGGGCACCAACTCCAAAAAAATACAACAAGGGGCACCAGCTCCAAAAAAAATACAACAAGGGGCACCAGCTCCAAAAAAATACAACAAGGGGCACCAGCTCCAAAAAAATACAACAAGGGGCACCAGCTCCAAAAAAAATACAACAAGGGGTGCTCCAAAAAAAATACAACAAGGGGCACCAGCTCCAAAAAAATACAACAAGGGGCACCAGCTCCAAAAAAATACAACAAGGGGCACCAGCTCCAAAAAAAATACAACAAGGGGCACCAGCTCCAAAAAAATACAACAAGGGGCACCAGCTCCAAAAAAATACAACAAGGGGCACCAGCTCCAAAAAAATACAACAAGGGGCACCAGCTCCAAAAAAAACAACAAGGGGCACCAGCTCCAAAAAAATACAACAAGGGGCACCAGCTCCAAAAAAATACAACAAGGGGCACCAGCTCCAAAAAAAATACAACAAGGGGCACCAGCTCCAAAAAAATACAACAAGGGGGTGCCAACTCCAAAAAAAATACAACAAGGGGCACCAACTCCAAAAAAAATACAACAAGGGGCACCAACTCCGAAAAAATACAACAAGGGGCACCAGCTCCAAAAAAAAAACAACAAGGGGCACCAGCTCCAAAAAAAATACAACAAGGGGCACCAGCTCCAAAAAAATACAACAAGGGGCACCAGCTCCAAAAAAATACAACAAGGGGGTGCCAACTCCAAAAAAAATACAACAAGGGGCACCAACTCCAAAAAAAATACAACAAGGGGCACCAGCTCCAAAAAAATACAACAAGGGGCACCAGCTCCAAAAAAAATACAACAAGGGGCACCAGCTCCAAAAAAAATACAACAAGGGGCACCAGCTCCAAAAAAATACAACAAGGGGCACCAACTCCAAAAAAATACAACAAGGGGTACCAACTCCAAAAAAAAGACACGCAACAAAGGTACCAACTCCAAAAACGACGCAAACAAAGGGGTACCAACTCCAATGTGGGTTCTTGCAACTTACTTTGGCTCGCTCTTGGAGCCCTGGCTGTACTGCCGGCACCAGCTCTGGGGAGGGCAGCGCTGCGCCTAGTCGGCCGGAGTTGGGGTGGGGGTCTGTCGGGTTTTGTTTTCTCCTTTGTTTGTTTTGTCTTCTGTCTATTTGAGTTGGGGTTGAGGGGGTATCCTTTGTAAGTATCCTTTTTGTGCAACCAAAAGCATGTGTTGTGCTGTTAAAAGCAACCAAAAGCATGTGTTGTGCTGTTAAAAGGGAAACCAAAAGCATGTGTTGTGCTGTTAAAAGGGAAACCAAAAGCATGTGTTGTGCTGTTAAAAGGGAAACCAAAAGCATGTGTTGTGCTGTTAAAAGGGAAACCAAAAGCATGTGTTGTGCTGTTAAAAGGGAAACCAAAAGCATGTTTGGTGGCTCTAAAGGGAAACCAAAAGCATGTCTTGTGGTTGTAAAGGGAAACTGGAAGCATAGCCACCACTTGTGGGGGTCCCCCCCACAAAAAACTTTCCCAGTCAAGTAGATACACAGCAATCGGCCCCCCAACATGGGTGGTTGCCTTTTTGTCTCCCACTAATGTCGGTACCCGATTAGTCAAAGGGTACCACATACAATACAGGTTTTCCGAAATTATTCTCTACCCCAAAAATGAAAGGGGCACCTATAATACAATAAAGTTGCTTTTGCACAACAACAATCTGGAACTTCATCCCCCCCCAAATCAAAAAGTATGTCCGAAGTTTTTAGGTCCAGAAAATACCCATCCCCCAAACTGCCGATTTCCAACACAAAAGCGACAATGTCCAAGGGAGGGGGTGCATGGCAAACCCAAATACTCCATAATAGAAATTAAGAACAGGGTACCCAATAGTGTAGCCGTCTCCTGGCTGCGCCAAAAAGTATCTCCGCTGTCTCTTGTTTGTCTAGCTCTTCTTTCTTCTGAGTACTTAGCAGGAACAGGCCAAAAGACTTCCGCAAACCATCCCACAACCTGCCGATATCCTTAGATATCCTTAGATATCCTTTGCACAAACGTGCTCAGCCAACAAATGTCCAAGGGGGTAGTACTAGTAAATGGCCCCCCCCAAATCCTCAATAGTAGGACTAGACAAAAAGGGCACCAACTATTGTAATTGTTTTGAAGTAGTTTTAAACTTTCTCCCCCTCTCTCTCTCTCTCCCTCCCTCTCACCTTGTCTAGTACTTCTTTCTTCCGATCTTTTCAGCCGAGTGAGATGAGAGAATGGGTCCGAAGTTACCCCAAGCCACTTCACCCAAGGGCAAAAACAAGCTGTATGTAATCTCGTATTTAGCCGTTATAGACACAGACATGCAAACCTATGATTCAGGGAAGTCTCATTTTAGAGGGGATCCCTGCTCTTGGGTAAAAACCACGCACAATCCGGGTTGATCCATCGGGGTCAACATGAACCGCTTGTCTGCCAGAACCCTCTAGGACTGGTGATATACCCCAAATCTCCTGAGCAAGTAGCGCCCACGCCTCAGCAAGATTTTACCGGAGCAACCCTTCACTGAGGAACTCCTTGGGGGAGATCATGGTGCTATCAGCACGAAGTTCCGAGTGCCCCGGCTCTTGCGCGAGCGCGGCTCTGAGGGAACCTGCAGCATCGCCCGGTGCACCCCAAAGACCGTGATTCATATTTGGCCATGGGTCAAAACCCCATACCCCGAGTGAACATCCCAATCCCCACTAAAATAGGTTCTAAGATGGGTGGTGAATTCACCTACCCCAAAACGGGATCCCATTGGTTTTGACCACCACGGCCATTTCTAAAAGCAGCGAGTCGCGCCCCGCTGCCTGAAAACAGCTTCGGCCTTCATCGGGCTGGAGTTTCAAAGCATAGATTTCGAGTGAGACCCTTAAGCCAAGTGAACCAGCAAACACAAAGCTCTTCGGGGGGGTGCTGTGAGAAGTTCTGGTCTGTAATCATCCATCCCCTTTCGGGTAGTAAAAATTGTAAAAACAAGACCGACCTCCGCAACCAGGCTTCGGACCGCGCGAACTCATCGGACCCGCGCTCTCATCAGAATCCGCGATCGGATTCCGCGGACTCTTCGGACTCATCGGGCTTGGATCAGAGAGGCTCAACTTTCGAAAACTTTTAGCGTCCAATTTGCAAGCTTCCAAGTAAATCTCAAGCGTCCATCTTATCTCCTAGGAATTAGGAAAAGGCTTCCAAACACGCCAAACAAAAGACGACGAATTTGATTGTCTGATAAATCCTCATCACAGTCCATTATATCACAGCACAACATGGACAAGTGGCTTTTGCTAAGTGATCTGGTTTTTAAGATCTTTTGAGCGCCCGTATAGTGTGTGACGTAGGCATTTGTTCGTGGGATTATCCTTTTGGGCGGGCGTGGTCAGCACGAAGGCGGTGCCTTTCGTCATTTCTGCAGTAGCACAGCTAGCACGTTCCATGGGCCGCGCTAAATGTTGCCAAGGCGTGAAAATTGGCATATCATGGAGTAAGTAGTGTGTGAGTGTGAGTGTAAGCGTGAGTGTGAGTGTGAGCGTGAGAGTGAGTGTGATGAGTGTGAGTGTGAGTGTGAGCGTGAGCGTGAGTGGGAGTGGGGGTGTGGGTGTGGGTGTGAGTGTGAGTGTGAGTGTGAGTGTGAGTGTGAGTGTGAGTGTGTGTGTGAGAGTGAGAGTGAGAGTGAGAGTGAGAGTGAGAGTGAGAGTGAGTGAGTGAGTGAGTGAGTGAGTGAGTGAGTGAGTGAGTGCTTAAGCGCACACCTGTGTGGGCTGGCAAAACCTTTAATACAACTACACATGCATGACAAATGCAATCATGTCCCAAAAACAAAATCAAAGGCTCCATCTGTTCAGAGAAAAGTATTTGGTACATGACAATTATCCCAAAATAATTTCAATTGAACCAGGGTAGGCCCCAGGGTAGGACTTAAAAAAAGATCATACTGAATCCACGAGCCGCAGCCGTCTCTTTCTTGGCAATTGCATGGCATCAAAACCTCTGCTCACATGCCACTGCTCCATTTGAACAGTCATGTACATTTGTCAGCGTCCCTTGCAGGTGCACAGCCCAGTGGCCTCTCGGGAAAATGTCTCGCATAGACGGCAAAGTCCTCTGCATACATGGAACGCACCAATGCTAAAGTCTCTTCCGTGCACAACAAGCTGGTCCAATAGCTTGAGTTTGCCTCAGAATGATGTGGAGAGCTAATTCGACCACCGAAGAAGGAGTCCTCACCGTTTTGCATGCACGCATTCCACCCAGCGGTCATAAGCTGGTTATCGGAAAACATTGGCTCCAAACCTTTGAAACCATCAGCAAGGTCAAGTACATGGCCAAACTCAAACTGTGATATCCCGCAGTATTTCACCATTGGCATCTTATGACAAGAAAAATGTTTGCTCTCCAAGTAGCGGCGAAACGCCCTTTGTAAACTGCACATTTTGCTGGCAGATGGGGCGAGGAACTGCTGAGCTTGAAGTTCTTCAGGCTTATCCTGCCAGAACGCCGAGACAGCGCGCTGCCATGGTTCTCTTAGCATAACGATAGAAGTCCAATTCTTGGGTCTCATCAGACGTGTCAAATCTGTTGGGTCGAGATCTCTGGCCCAAGTTGCCCCTCGCCACAATGGATCGGTATGATTGTTGATGTGACCTTTCAAGCAACCCCACTCTTCGTTCTTGCATCCGCAAATCTTGTCCGCATCATTCCCCAAGAGTCGCATTGCAATAAATTTCCATGTGGTAGTTCCAATCTTTGGAAGCAAGCACATCGCAATCCTTTGTGATTGCAGCAGCAACAGTCCATCTCCCCAGCACATATGTTTGATCGACGCTTCAAACTCCACAACTGGGCTGGGCATAGGATTGAACTGGGCATTCCAAGAAGGCGCCGCTGTTGTTTGCTGATTTTCTGTGCATTTGTCAGCATCCCTTGCAGGTGTACAGCCCAGTGGCCTCTCGGGAAAATGTCTCGCATAGACGGCAAAGTCCTCTGCATACATGGAACGCACCAATGCTAAAGTCTCTTCCGTGCACAACAAGCTGGTCCAATAGCTTGAGTTTGCCTCAGAATGATGTGGAGAGCTAATTCGACCACCGAAGAAGGAGTCCTCACCGTTTTGCATGCACGCATTCCACCCAGCGGTCATAAGCTGGTTATCGGAAAACATTGGCTCCAAACCTTTGAAACCATCAGCAAGGTCAAGTACATGGCCAAACTCAAACTGTGATATCCCGCAGTATTTCACCATTGGCATCTTATGACAAGAAAAATGTTTGCTCTCCAAGTAGCGGCGAAACGCCCTTTGTAAACTGCACATTTTGCTGGCAGATGGGGCGAGGAACTGCTGAGCTTGAATTTCTTCAGGCTTATCCTGCCAGAACGCCGAGACAGCGCGCTGCCATGGTTCTCTTAGCATAACGATAGAAGTCCAATTCTTGGGTCTCATCAGTCAGACGTGTCAAATCTGTTGGGTCGAGATCTCTGGCCCAAGTTGCCCCTCGCCACAATGGATCGGTATGATTGTTGATGTGACCTTTCAAGCAACCCCACTCTTCGTTCTTGCATCCGCAAATCTTGTCCGCATCATTCCCCAAGAGTCGCATTGCAATAAATTTCCATGTGGTAGTTCCAATCTTTGGAAGCAAGCACATCGCAATCCTTTGTGATTGCAGCAGCAACAGTCCATCTCCCCAGCACATATGTTTGATCGACGCGTCAACCTCCACAACTGGGCTGGGCATAGGATTGAACTGGGCATTCCAAGAAGGCGCCGCTGTTGTTTGCTGATGCTTCTTTGCAAATAGTGCTGCAACGTGTCCGTATCGGCAAACAAACGCAGTGCCTCCAAGCAAAACAGCACAAATGGCACCCAATGTTCCAAGTGGCCGCATGGAGGAAGATTCACAAGAGGTTTGCTTAGCTGGGCGCTAGTGCTGCAACGTGTGTAAAGTATTGTCTTGATTTGGCCATGCCATTTGTCTTCAAACATACTGCGCGCTTTACATGCCATGTTTGCGCTACATTTTTTTCTGACTAAATATTCCAACAATACAACGTAATTGTTCAGATCTGTAAACGATTCCATCGTGTTAACTTGGAGTGAGGCCGACCGCCCTTGCAAATGGTTGAAACAGTCGCAAATGTGTTCATGCTTTTTCACAGCTAGTTTTGAGCCGCCGGCGACGCTGACGAGTGGCAAAACCAACGTAGCCAAGCCAAAGCATCTGAACACCATCGTGCAATGTCACAACGCGCGCGCGCAAACAATGCAGTCCAACTTCCGGCTATGGCAACTTGGATTGGCGGTTTGCTGTTTTAAATGGTTCCATTTTCCCCACCCGGGAAAACCTTGCGTCATCCCTATGCTCGTTTGCTCGTCCCGTCCAACCCCAAACCAGCCAGCTTTGGTCAAAACGCCTTCACTCACAGGCAACTTGGCCTCCAGATCTGCATCCTCCGGGTGCTCCACAGCCTCAAGAGATGGGGACATGCGCCGAAGGGAAAGCCTTGTCTGGGTGTTCACCTGGTAGCCTGCTCATTTTGGCTCAGTTTGGTCCCAGTCAGCTTTTGGGCAACTTTGGCGTTTTCAGCCTGCCCGCCCGGCTCATGTTGGTCGAAGTTTCTGAATCATGTTAATTGGTCAAATTCTTTGCGCATTTTGGTCGTAGTTGCAAAACCATGCAATATCAGGTCCTGGTCACGCAAAATGTCAAATCAGAGCCAGCGGCTGCGTCTGAAAATTACATGCTTCCTGACCGGCCTAGAACAACCGAAGAACTATAGACCAAAACGAGCACAGAAACTATGACCGAAACGAGCAGAAACTAGGACCGAAACGAGTCGAAAGCTAGCACCAAAACGATCCAGGGTCGATTCTGGAAAACTGGGCGCCCAAAACCTGACAAAACAAGGACCGAAACGAGTCGAAAACTAGGACCGCAACGATGCCGTGCCCGTCAAATGAATCCAGGGGCTGGACAAAAAAAAGTAGCCGATCTTACCTGTCCCCTTTTAATTTTCTTTTAGGAAGATTGACATGGGCCAACTAGAAGGGATAGATTTGAAAAAAAAGAGAGAGAGAGAGAGAGAGAGCCAAATGGATCCAAAGGCCGCTGGAATCGCTGTCCACTCCCAGCAACAGATGGCGTGTATACAGCACGAGCGAGCATCGATCCAAACTGGAGCTCCAGCGAAGCCTAAGTGATTGACTGAAGGGGTAGGAATTGAGTGGGTGGTTCCTCCAAAAGTTATCTGCATTCCGTGAATGGGACACTGGCCAATTGAACGAAGGGATTTGTCAATTCTGGGCTCCCATCAGCGGGGTTACTCACCAGCATTCATACCCAGACCAGTGGATCCACTGGTCTGAGCGGGCATCTTGTTGGCCCGCGATTTGTTTGATGCAAACAAAGAAGACCCTCGCTTTTTGGAACTCAGTTTTGATGCACGGCACCTGTTTGGGACTCATTTGTTTGGGCCAAGAAACCCCTTTGGTACAAAGACACCCCTCTTATTGTCAATTGTGATGCAGGAAACCCCTCGAAACAAAAAGAAAGGGCACCACTGCTTTCGGTCAGGAGGCCCAATGCTACGGGTGGACCTGGAGCAACAGAAAATCCTTCTGCCCGAAAATACCATAGACGACTGGGCTGCCCGTTTTCGGATCCCCCGCTAAAAGTTGAAAACTTTTAGTAAGTTGAATGGAAACTACCACTAAACACTAAAAGGCTAAAAAGCTAAGGGGATGGCTGGGAGCCACCAAGACAAATAGTCCCAACCTTATAAGTGAATAAGGAAAGAGGGTATTTAATGGTATTTAGTTGTGTCTTCAGGACATGAGTTATGATGACACCTAGGCTCATTGAAGCAACACACACACACACACACACACGCACACTTTACCAAATAGAAAGGCAGCTTATCTGCCCGCAGGTAGTTTTGATTGAGCCCTGCACCGTGGGAGTTGGAAGATCCTTTTGGTTATCAAAGCGTGATGTGGGTTTGTCATCTTTAAGGGGGACCGACCCCCAAACTGGTGGGTTTGCTTTTGGCTTTCATTTGAAGCCGCCCGCCAAAAAAGGAAGTACCAACTCCAAAAAAGTACAACCCCACAAGTGGGTTCGTCTGAAACTAGTGCCCCTCCCAGGCCCTAACGTGAGCTCTGCGCAAAGGGGCAGGTCATCTTTGGGCCCAGCCATCTATAAGTCTACAAGTATGTGGGCTCAAAAATGCTTCTCTGATGATCATGGCGTCTCTAAGCATCACCCTAACAGGGCGTCTCTAAGCATCACCCTAACAGGCGACTCACTTGATGTTGGCCAAAACAGTGATAATAAAAACCACCAAACTGGGAAATATGGGGGGTGGTCAAAAGATCTTTACATGAGGTGACTCCATTGGGAAAACCACCAACATAATTGAGTTTCGCCGCATGGGAAAAGCTACTCATGGTGTTTTTGGGGCCAAAAATATGGATCAACCCCCATACAGAAATCCCTGTGCATCCCCGCTCACCGAAAGCGCCGACCTAGCTCCGAGTGCCGCACGTCTGCTGGAGAGGTGGGCGAAGGCAGCTCAGTGGGCACCGGCATCTCCTGCGAAGCGCGCGTCGAAAACCATTGGGTCTGAACCAAAATGAGCCAACCATTTGGGGAAAAGACAAATCTAGGTCCTCCAGTAGAGAGGTTAGAGTAAGTTTACCCCCCATTTTTTTCGGTCTATTCTAGTAGGGGAACCCTCCCAACCAAAAAAGGGTACAAGGGCACTACTGGGGGACCTAGCCTATACTCCCTTGAAGGCCGCCAGTTTTGATGGGTGAGCCGGAAACATATCTGATCTGTTGTAGTGAGTTTCCCCAATGGTCATCCCATGTCAAGAACGTTTTGATCAACACCCCTTTGGAGAAAGGCCTAAATGGACACGAGTATGATGAATGGAAACAACCGGTTACTTCCTGGTGCTCAGGGAAGGGCAAGCCTTGCGGGTGTTGGGAATGAAGAAAGGAAACCACATCGGGGATGTTTTTGTTTTTTTCTCTCTTGATCATTCCGTTTTTCATTCCCTGCCTATCGAACCAGCAAACAGGGAGTTCAACTTGCTCTGTGCCGTCACGCCCCAATCGGTACCTAGGTCCTCCATTAGGTTAGAATAAGGGTACCCTTTTTTCTGTAGTCAACTTTTGTAGGGGAACCCTCCCAACCAAAAAAGGGGAGGGAGGGCACTACTGGGGCAGCTTGGGAACACAACAGAAACACTGGCACTCCCGATCCAACTTCCACTGGCGGCACTCCTCTGGCGAGGCAGGAGGAGCAGATGTGTAACCTGGCGCACTTCCAAGGGACACACCCTCGTACGGAAGAGGCCTTAGGGGTTGCTCCAAATAAACCGCCAAACCAAGCAGGGGGGTGAAGAGGGGAAAGAAACGTTGTGCAAACCTTTTAGTGCTCGCTTCGATGTGGGCATGGCCAATATGCCCCTCCAGGCAAGGCCTCAGTCAGGTTTGTGGAATTCGGGCCTCCTGGTTTTCTCCCTGCAACTTGCGTTTTTATTCAGTGTAGCGATAGATTCCCTTTAAAAACAACAGGGAAAAACAACAATTGTATTAAATATTTTCAGCCAATTGGGGGGGGGTCTTGGGTTTCCATGACTCGGTGGATTGGCCGATTTGACAATTGTTGGCTCAGCCAATACCGATTCAGGACTGCCAAAGGGTTAGCCTTTGAGTGAAGGAAAATAAAGGATTACATACTTTCGTCAAGCGATCCTAAGGGGAACTCCGCAGTGTGTGCGGGTTGAGGGTTGAGGGTTGAGGGTTGAGAGGGGATTCTGGGCGGGTTGGTGGTGTGGGGGGTGGGGAGGAAGGTGCTGAGATGTTCCAAATGGATATTAAAGGGACCAGCAGCGGGTTTCGTGAGCTTCCAACTAAACCAATCATAACAGTTTGTCCTAATCAACGAACCACCCACCAAGGATACCATCTCACTTCCTGAGCGGACTGGCCACAAAAAGCTCCCAAATTCAAAATGGTCCAAACCCCCAAAGTGACCAAAGTCTATGAACTCAGGCTTCGCACATCAAGCCATGCCGCTCCTCAAACTTGCCACTCCCCCTACGCCCGCGGCTCCAACCTGCCGAGGCCATGGCGGAGCCGTCCACCTGTGACTCGACTTGCGATCGGTGCGATGGGCAGGCCCTGGGGTTCAGGTCCCACCACTTAACCAATGGGGCTTAATATCACCACCATTATTTACCTAAGGATGTTCATCATCCAAATTGGGTCAACCATTCTTTTAATGGTACCTGTCTAAGACTTGGCTAAAGACCAAATTTCAAACAACTCGTAGGCCTAAGGGGTCGAACCAAGCGCCTCCTGAGTTGGCTGGGAAGAGACTAAGTCACTTTTGGCCCTTAAGATTGAAGACACCTGGATGTGTGTCACTTGCAGCTTTCCTTTGAAACGTCCAGAAACGGGTCCATCATTATGAAACACCCCCCACCTGATAGCAAAGCTTTCAGATTTGTTCGTTTAGGTCAGGCTTGGATGTCAGAGTACATATCTCTACGGGTACAGTAACTGCCTCATCATTTCCACGGTCTTGCTTTTACCAGAAGACAAGTAAACAAGACAGGCAACAACAACACAGATGGCGATTGAATCAGCCGATGGTTGAACTCCGTGGAAATGCAATCAACCCCCAGCATCCATACTCTTTCCTCAATTTTTGGGCTGCATTGACCCCAACAACAAGTCTAAAACATGTAAGATGCTTCTTTGCCGCCATGGCTGTCCCAGCGGAATCTTGGCAGCTCAAAGTGGGGCCCGTTTTTAGGGCCCCCAATTGAACGCGCAACTGGAGGGCGCCCTGCCTTTTTTTTTTTTTTTTTTTTCGAGCTGATGCTTCGGGCGGAGAAGAACAGGGTCAACTCCGGCGAGCGGAGGCCGGGCGCGCCTCCATGCCGGGAGGCGGCCTGGGTGCTTCCACGCGTTTCGCCACTCACTGCCGAATGAATGAATGGCTCAAACAAGTTGACAATTTCTTGGTTTACGACTAAAATGGATTACAAAGCTGACAATTTTCTTTGTTTGTCTACCCAAAAAGGAATTACAAAGTCCATGAACTCAGTTGAGACAGGCAACCAGGGAAACCATCCATGGTACCTCCAGTGCCCAAGAGGGGTTAACCCGCTCGAAGGCTTTGGATAGATCAACCAGCAACGCGATACTGGCCTCATGCCTTAAAGGCAAAACTATTAGGTTACCCGCTATAGTGGCAACTGGAAGCTTGATCTCTAGGCCTTGGGGGGTTTTTAAGCGGGATTGGGCCTGCCCCCTGCTTATGGGTGTCTTTCCGTGTGCCTGAGAACAGGTTCATGTCCGAGGTACTTATCATGTCCAGGGTCGCAAAGAACAACCAAGCCCTAAAGGTCTTTGGCCAGTTTTGCCGGTCGTTTTTTCTCGGGTTCTTCTCCTTGTGCCCACTATCAACACTCGTAGTTGTCTTACAAGGCAACCACCCAAAATCGTACAAAATCGGTGGTCATCTTTGGATTCCCGTGGCTTCAACAAGAAGATCAAGTACTTTTCTTAATAGATCTGGGCCAGACTTCGACCCCCCAAACAAGATGTTGCTGTTTGGGTTGCTGGTTGGGGACAACGAAGGATGCCCATGGCAACAAAACAAGGCAAGGTTTGTTGTTGCTACAGGGAAGCCTCCATGCTCATTTGCGATTGTGTGATTTCAAATTGGTCACCTTTCCTTCTTGCTCATGTGCTTTTCACATGCCAAACACCAATTGTGTGGCTTTAAATAGGTCACCTTTCCTTCTTGCTCACTTCCTTGCGACTTACCAAACACCAGCCGGATCGGTCGAACTTTTTTCCAGGGGTACCGTTGAGCTGAGCCGGGGAGCGACCCCTCTCCCATCTGAGCTAAGCGAGCGGCACTGTGGGGATCGTGGGCTCCGGTAGGGCCGTGGGGACGGTGACCGTAGGCTCCTGGCAGGCGCCCAGCAGACTTTGAAGCCCTTTTGGCCAATACCAATTTGTTTCAGGGTATGCTCTACTAAAAAAAGAAGTTTTACCTTGGAAAACCAGGTTTTCCCCAAATAACCCTGAAAAAAGCGGGTATTTGGTGTAGGGGGTACATCAGAAGCTGCTTGGATTTGGGGTTGGCTTGAATTGATTGTGGTAGGAGGGTTGCGAAAAAAATGGCGTCCAACTTCCAACGCGCCCAGAAAGCACTAGAACCCAGTGCAAAAAGGGTCTGACAAGGGGTATATGATGTAAGAACGCTGACCCTAGTTTGTGGCATGCACCGGCTCGACTTCTGCGTGCCTGCTCGTCGTCCTCCCCAATGGTGGTCGGCGACACATCAGTCGGTACCTACAAATGGACTGGAACACATGGGTGTCAAACATGAGGTCTGGAAAGAACATGTCAATCCCGCTTTTGCTGCCCATTGAAAATTGAAAACCCACCTGGAAATCCCCGGTTTGGGCCTTCCAGGGGCCAAGTGTCATGGTGCACCGGCATTTCCGTTGGACTCGCCACCGGAGCGCTGCTGGATTCCAGACCTCCCGCCGGCGCAGATCGTGACCCGCAAAGTTTACTGTCCTCAGATCCCCTCAAAGTTGAAAAATCTTGGTGGAAACCCAACCACTAAACTCAGTAAACACCCAGAGAACCGGACTGGGAACAGCCAGCTGAGAACTGGCCGAGTCCACACCTTTTGGAGACCAGCTGTGGCGGTAGTCCCAAAACATCCAACTCGAACAGCGAAAAGTGCCACACATCCAAGTTTGAAGTGTCAAAGTGGGTACAACCTGAAGGCTTTCTACCCAAACACGTGTTTGCTTTTTTGTACTCACACATGTGGGTCTTGTGGATGGGACTTTTTTGGAAGGGCCCCTTATTCGGGTTGGTCCAAGCGGGACGTCCAAGCAGGTCCGAATCCCTATTTTTACATGACCATGTCACAGCCTCACATCCCCCCCCACCCGTTGCAAAAACCGACGGACGGCCTGAGGAGTGCATGGCGGACTCTGGCGGCACTTGCACCTGCCAACCCGATGTCGAATCCCAACTACTCCCAGCTGCGTTTTTTTTTTCTCCACGCCCGGAAATCAGAAAGCTCGTTGGTATATATGTCATTGTTTTTCTCCACGCCCAGGATTTGCCTCTCAAACCAATCTGCAGAAAGCAATCTTGGTATATATGTCATCTGCTCTTTGGGACGAGTCCGGACCTGCTTACTCCGCATGGGGTAAGACAAGGGCCTCAATCACCCATCCCCTGACACGCGCCATCGCCTCCGGCTCGACGGCCGGGCTGCGGGTGGGCCTAAGCCGGGTGTTGAAAAGTTTAAAGGGGGGGGGGGGTCCTGCAGTTCCCGGTCCTCCAACAACAGGAACTTTGAGCTAAACAAAAGCTGCCACAAAAGCCTGAGGAGCAGTATGTACGGAGGACGTTTTGTGAATGCAAGACATCCTGTTGCCTGCTTCAAAAATGTGGGCTTCGCTTTTCTAACGAGGGGGTTGTGGGCCCAATTCCAAACCTAAGCAGCCCAAGTAGCCGACTGACAATACTAAAGCTCCGACACAAGAATAAACGTGTGTGCTACTAATACTAGGTTGCTTCAACCTTTCACTGTTGGTTGTGTTATCGCAACATGTGGATTTGCACGCTAGCTAACCAAGTACTTTGCCAACGGCCGATGGACAACAACAATATGTCCGTACAGTTCTCCGTACACATGTGTTGTGTTTTCAACCATGCACTTTCTTTTTGTTTCTTCTCAAACGAATGCGTCTGGGCGGGGGGGACCAAATAGGCGGATTCTTCCAATTTCACTGGCAACTACGCACGGAGGGTCTCAACCCCATGTTTTTCAGCTATCTGAAGGGTGGGGGATTTGTCGAAGCTGCCCATTTTTTGTTGGGGCTTTGGGGCAGCCCCAAACCTTGTCCCAGCAAGTCTAAAACTCTGCGTTCAAAGGAAAACCAAGCCCATTTCCACTCTGAAAACACCAAAACGGGGAACCCCACAATCCGCAGTTTCCCTTTGGTTTCCCTTTGGATTCCTTTTGGTTTCCCTTTCCTACTGTGGATGGACAACATCCTGCACAACTTGGGATAGATGTAAACCCTGTCAATACTGGGACAAAATACCAAACAGCCCACAGGTGCCGGATTTCCTCCATCCACAGTGGGGATCTGTACTCTTCTCCAAAACAACTTTGACCAAGTCCCCAGCACAGAGGCGACGGTCGCCGGCGCGGCGCACGTAATGGTGGCCGCCTAAAGATCCGAATCGGGGATCCAAAGGGACCGTACGGGAAGACACCGTTGCTCGCTCCCCTGCTAAAAGTGACTAACATGTCTAGTGGCTTAATACGGAAAACCCAGTAACGGCTTAAAAACTTGAAGTCCTGACATCCAAGCAAAATGCAACAAAGAGTGGAAGAAAGCATCGTTTCCTGCGTTACCACGGCCATCCCTTGACTATATACTTTATGTGTTCCTTGTTGTTGGTGTGATTCTTTCTCATTTCGCCAACAAAATCAGAGAACCTCTTGTGCACCAAACACCGCCGACAAACGTGCAACCTAGCTCAGTTGGGAAGCTTGATCTTGCCAGCATTCCAGGAATCTTAGGATTCAACTCCGCCTCCCGTTGCCCCTTTCCTAGCTTCCTCCACTAAAGCTGAAGGCTTTAATACGGTGCTAGTGTCTGACTTTGGGGCAAAAGGCGCCGTTTCCGTCGTGGCCCTGCCTCCTCCTCTGCAGGCGATGTTGGAGATGGCACTTCCGTTGGTACCGGCATTTCCTGACGAAAACGGGCGCCGGGTTGGTCTTTCTGCTAATTGTTGTCAAATGCTGAAGGCATGAACCCACGTTGTTGTAGTAGTTGCATATGTGCATGCATAGATGTGTATGTGTATGTGGGAATATGTCTTACATGCACATATACACATACATGCACATACACATAAATGACACAAATACATTAGTACATAAATACACAACACGATACATAACATTTAATACATAAATTACTACTTGAATAATTAAACAAACAAAAGGGGACCACCATGTTGAGAATCACCCATATGGGCGCGAGAATAGGGACCCCCAAAATGGTGCCGGTTGTCCTTTGAACATTGAACACACCAAACAAGCGGCACCCTCAACACAAAAATTAAAGGACCGAATAACCCCACATGCTATGTTTTTCCCAAGGATGTGAGTTCAAATGTCCACACACATGTACCGTGCGCGGTGTCGTGCCCAGCAGACGAAGCGGTGGGATCCACTCCCACAATGTCCTTCTCCGAGTTGGCCGCATCTCTCAATGCTTGCCCCGCCGCCGCAAGGGCAGACAAACCTTCTTGGGCAACGTCCCGCAGGTGCGCCAAGTCGAGCTCAGCCTCTCTCACCAATGCTCGACATGGCCCTCGCACTCGTGAGCTAGCTTTGCACACGCACGCTCGCCATGCGCCTTTGTGGCGTTCGATCGGCATCTTTAGCCAAGCGAACACGTCTCACACAACGATTCTGCCATGCGATCGAACTGCTCAACATTCTTCTGCAAACTTCTGACAACACTTCTGCAATCTTCTGCCAACTTCTGACAAAACTTCTGCAAAATATAAGTTCGTGACCCTGGACACAAAGCTTCTGCGAGCCCAATCTCAACATCCAACAGCTTGCCTCACAATGCACCCTGCCTCATGTACTCACAGCTCTGCACTTACACAAGCCTTGTAGACGACCCTTTAGACATCCGAGAAGTGTGAGTGAGTGTGAGTATGAATGCGAGCGAATGAGTGACAAAATGCTGCCCCTGCCACACAAACACACACCCAGATGCACAGAATGCTGCGCCTGCCACGACTTCGGCAACGATGCACAGAATGCAGCGCAACGTGCTGCGGCAACGGCATCAAAGTGCTGCGCCTGCCATTTCGCAAAGTCGCCAAAGTGCTGCGCCTGCCACGATTTCGCACGCCCCCCGCCGCGCGCGCGACAACATCCTGTCCCTCTAGACAGCTGCCGAATGCGACCCCTGCCACACAAACACACACCCAGATGCACAGAATGCTGCGCCTGCCACGACTTCGGCAACGGCATCGCCAAAGTGCTGCGCCTGCCACGATTTCGCAACGGCATCGCCAAAGTGCTGCGCCTGCCACGATTTCGCACGCCCCCCGCCGCGCGCGCGACAACATCCTGTCCCTCTAGACAGCTGCCGAATGCGACCCCTGCCACACAAACACACACCCAGATGCACAGAATGCTGCGCCTGCCACGACTTCGGCAACGGCATCGCCAAAGTGCTGCGCCTGCCACGATTTCGCAACGGCATCGCCAAAGTGCTGCGCCTGCCACGATTTCGCACGCCCCCCGCCGCGCGCGCGACAACATCCTGTCCCTCTAGACAGCTGCCGAATGCGACCCCTGCCACACAAACACACACCCAGATGCACAGAATGCTGCGCCTGCCACGACTTCGGCAACGGCATCGCCAAAGTGCTGCGCCTGCCACGATTTCGCAACGGCATCGCCAAAGTGCTGCGCCTGCCACGATTTCGCACGCCCCCCGCCGCGCGCGCGACAACATCCTGTCCCTCTAGACAGCTGCCGAATGCGACCCCTGCCACACAAACACACACCCAGATGCACAGAATGCTGCGCCTGCCACGACTTCGGCAACGGCATCGCCAAAGTGCTGCGCCTGCCACGATTTCGCAACGGCATCGCCAAAGTGCTGCGCCTGCCACGATTTCGCACGCCCCCCGCCGCGCGCGCGACAACATCCTGTCCCTCTAGACAGCTGCCGTGAGTGTGTGAGTGAGTGAGTGAGCGAGTGAGTGAGTGAGTGAGTGAATGAGAGTGAGTGAATGAGAGTGAGTGTGAGTGAGTGAGTGTGAGTGAGCGTGAGTGAGTGAGTGTGAGTGAGCGTGAGTGAGTGAGTGTGAGTGAGTGTGAGTGAGTGAGTGTGAGTGAGTGTGAGTGAGTGAGTGTGAGTGAGTGTGAGTGACTGAGTGAGTGAGTGAGTGAGCGAGTGTGAGTGAGTGAGTGTGAGTTGAGTGAGTGTGAGTTGAGTGAGTGAGAGTGAGTGAGTGAGTGAGACGGAGACGAGCGGGAGGAGGAGGAGGAGGAGACGCGGCGCGCGGACGACGAGCGGAAAAAGTAAGAACCCCACACAAAGATGTGGGGAACAAAATAAACAAAAAAACAAAACAAAACAAAACACACATATATATGGCCGCGTACAGTCAGCCCTGACATCAGACAATGACCTCCAAAAGGATTACTCTACCCCTCTCGCATGACTTTTTGCATTGAGGCCTTTACGTTCTATATCATCCCAGTTGTAGACAACTACAGAGTAGCGATAAAGGCGGCACTGTCTAACAGAACGGCGCATGTTGGACGCCCCGGTGTCAAAAAAACCGATTCCCCCGAATGCAATGATGCTTGACTCCGTAACAGCCGATATCTGGACAATGAGCTTTGGATTTGCGGCCTCCTAAACGAGAGCGCATACCCTTTGTTTAACAATCATGGAAGTGGACAGAAGCCCTGCCAATATGATGGTAGCTTTCCAAACCCATTTCTGTCCACCCCCACGACTGTTGGAAACAGGATAAGCCGAAACCTCAAAAACGCCCAGGCAAAGGAACCGCCTTTGTGGGGCTCACTATTGGAACTCCCTCGCGATCCGACAACTTGGCCTTTGCTGGACTTAAAATGGGAACCTTTCCCACCCAAAGTTTCGGGAATATCCAACTGACGCTCCCAGTGCCCTGAGCAGGGATCCTTACATTATACACCTGAACATGGCCTTGTAAATGGTGGTTTCCCTTTATTTTGGTGCAAAACGCCATGTTTCAAATGGGCAAAATGTATCTTCTAAGGAGCCCTGCTGAGGTTCTCGGATTGTTGTTGACCTCTGGTGTTCAGGTGGTTCGCCCTGGCTGCCCATACAGCGAAAAGGACAACACCCCCAGCATGGACTGCAGCCTCCCTGGCCTAGAGAACATTGACCCTGGGCATTTCAACCCAACTTTGAGCGCCCAAACAGTTGGAGTGGGCAAAGGTAAGTGGGGTGTCTTTTTTCTGGGCTGTCCTCAGTAACATTTAGTGGGTTAAATGGAAATCTAACCACTAAACACTAAAAAAGCTAGGAAGCCAAGGAACCGGATTTTCTGCAAGGGCCAGCAAAATGTTGCCCCAGGACTTGGCAAGAAAAAACACAAGAGAGCGGCATCCACTTATCACTCGAGGCAGGTTTCTCGTAGCACAGTGAGAGGGCAACCAAATACAAACATAACAACAGGGGGCCGATTGAACAAAAAGACTGAAAAGGGCAACCCAAAAACTGTCATGGAACAGCTGAATCAGTTTCTGCATCGTCACCTCCGCGGGTTGTCCGTTCAGACAAGAAACAATCCTTGGAGCAAGTTGCAATCAGCTTCATGGGCCGGCAGGTTCTGGTCACATCAAAAAATATTCAGACTCCGAAGACATCACAACTTTTGGAGCCATGGGACACGTTTGCCCAACTTTTGGTCCTCAGCCCCCAGTTATCACTCTGGGCTGCTGAAACTGACAAAAACTGATCCCCGCTCAAAGTTCAGTGGGGTTAGATGGAAACCAACCACCAAACAGGCTCAAAACCTACAAACCTATGGGACCGTCACGAAACTCGGACCTCAAACGAACCTACCTCACCCTACGAACCACCTGACTAACCTCACAACGTCTGGGAACAGTTTGAGGATAGCCACGTCACTCGGCTGTGGCTACTCTGGCGACTCTGGTGACTCGGCTCTCGGAACATCCCCTTGCGACCCCGGCCGTGGGGGACTGATGCAACTCACTGCTCCTGGCAGGCAGCGGATGTGAATCAAGTCACCAAAATGTGTTTCTTTTTTAGGGGATTCCCCCCCAAGACTTTTTTGAAACTAAAACTTTCTTTTTTAGAGGACCCCCCCCACAATAAAAAAAGAACAAAAAACAAACAAACAAGTAAAACAAGTACACAACCACACAAAATGGTTTGCCTTTTGGCTTACCTGGAGAACAACACCAAAAGGAGGTACCCTCACAAATCAGACACGCCCACATATGATCTCCCCTTATCTGAATTGACTGGCCAAAAGATGCCATATAAAAGCAATGGGATATGCGCATGTAGCTGAAAAGCATGAACTATTGGACCATGCTGAAAAAATCAAGGGCGTTTTGATCCAAGAACGCATGGGTGTCGGTACCTGCTTTTTTGGGGTTGCTATGATATGGCAGCTACGGGCCACCAAGCAGCTAATGCGCATTGTGAGTCATAGCCAAAGCCATGGAAAGGTCGTTCCGAACGTTACTTGTCCTTGGAGCCTAGTAGTCGCTAGTAGTCATTGTTCAATTGCAGTTGTTCTAACTCTGAATCAGTAATGCTAGCTTCAGATTACTCCGGAGTTCCCTGAGATAGTTCATTTTCCCGTACCAAAAGGGGAACCACCTCTGATTAGTACGGTCCTCAGAATAATCTGAAGTTAGCATGAAATGAAACCACATGGAAGGCCCCGAACTTCAAGACATCCCCCTTATTGGACCCCTCAAGCACCGCTAGCGCAGCGCAACCTCGCCGGCTTTGCGCCGCGGACATCATCGCGGACATCGCCGAGAGCGCGGCCGACTGCCTGTCGCCCGCGCAAGGAGACGAAATAAATCTTGCGATATGATGGGACCATAGAGGTTTCCACCCAAAGGGAGACTGGCAGCACCTTGGTGAGACTAAGGCTTGTTACGCAGGCCACACGCGGGCTATACCTCAGCGGGCCTCCCAGGGGTGTTCCATGAAGGCAACTCATCTGGTGCATGTGTCAGTGTCTCAAATACAAATGTAAGAAAGGTTGAGCCTTGCAGTTTTGTCTCTGAATAGGAGTCTGTTCGGTTTCTCTTTCAACCGACCCAAAAAGGGTAGCCGACACACTCTTCATGCGGGAGATCTCGTAAAGTTCAAAGGGCGGCCTACGCCCAACAAGGAATGCCTTTTCTTGAGGCCACAGAAAACGTGGCCTACAAAAGAAACCAGCATGTTCTTGTGCTACGGATTGCAGGGGTCCCCTTAAACCTTCAGGACTGCGGCCGACTGAGGCCTCTTCAGGGGATTTTTGGGGGCCAAGGACCAGTAAGGGCCATCACCTGCCAATGGGCACCCGGCCTGAATCGCTGTTGGATAATGGGGCTTTCAACCACGGCACATGTGAGCAGCGCCGAAACCGCTTCGATTTCACAGCTGGCGGCCAAGCCCCTGACTGGGCCACAGGCACCTGGCGTTTGAGGCAAGCACACATCCAGGGATTCGTTCACGTGAGCAGGGGGAAAATCAAGGGAAAACCATTTTTCCCCAACAGCTGAAAGCTTTGGGGTCTCAGCCCAGATAGGCTCCTGGGGTGGTCCGGGGCGGCCCGGAGGTAAGGTTCCACCAGACCTCCACCAGGGCTCCACATGCTGTTGAGGACCACCTGAGCTTATTGTTGTTGGAGGGAATCTGGTTGAAAAGGGAGCAAAAATAGAAGAATCAGCATGTTCGGGGGTCCAACTCCCTATCTTGGAACATAGTCAATTGCTTCAGGCCGAAACAGTACTTCCACTTGTTCCCTTGTAAAACCAAGAGGGGAAAATAAATCACAGTCTGATGCCAGTGGAAGTTCGTGGATTGCCAAAGATGGCGGAACCGCTCGTTCATCTTTAAGCTGGTCCCAGGTGGATTGTAAACATTGGTCTGCATTTGCGCTTTAGCTCCTCACTGCCTGAGTGGATGGCCCCAAAAAAGTCCAAACTTCAAATTTACCACCAAAATGGCCCAAACCCAAAAAGTTTGAAGTTCATGAACTCAGGAAGTGATTCTGGGTGACAAAGCCTGGAAATGAACTGATTTTGGATGCAAACCCCAACACGGATTGCCCCAGTGTGCCGTCTTTGAGCCTTCTTGGCTTTAGCTCTAAAGGGGTGTCCTGGAATCTATGAAGGACTGAGGAAGTCGGAGGATCGACCAACAGTTGCCAACATGTGCGGCTGGATCCATGCGGCTTCTCTTCTTACCCCTTAAAACTCCCTGCGCCCTGGGGAAGTTCTCATCTTTTACAGACATATAGCCCATGTTACCCAAAAAGTTGAGAAAAGTTGCGTTTTTAAGAGGTAAGTCTTCCAGACTCCAACACCCCGTAAGCCTCAAATCAAGAACCAAAGGTTGCCCCGTTTTTGCCGAGCCACCCATTGATTCTCGTCGGACCCCAGAACCAAACGAAACGGAGGCCACCCAAAAAAAGGGCCCGGTTTGGGGGGTGTGCCCTTTGGCCCGGTTCCCTAGCTCTCTGCAGGCTGCGAGCCCCTGACGTCAGGCGCTTAGGCGATTTTTTTTTTCTGTAGCCTATCTTAGGTGAGCCCTCCCAACCAAAAAAGAAGCGGTGAGAAAGTTGGCACGGGGCCTACATCTGTTTCGTTTCCCTGGTGTCGAATCGGGTTGCATCCACGCGAACAGGCGCCCTTCCGCGGATTTCGTTCTCGCACAAAATGGGAGGCCTCTTGCATCCGCTTGTAAAGCCAAGCTTGGAGTGGAGTTCCATGGGAACAAAGGGCACTCGTGCTTCGCTCTGCATTTTGAAAGGAAGCCCCCTCAAAAAGGAAACTAGAGGTTTGGGTAAAGGGGTATCTGTTTGGGGCAGAACTGAAGTTGCCCTTGCAACGTAAGTGTACACCTTGCGAAAGTGCGGTGCCTGCCACGCATACCAATGTCGCGAAAAGCGCGTGTGTCCGTGCCAATGGTCCCGGCTCCGAGACTCCGCAGCTCCACTTAGCTGTCGCGACCAAGGTAGTATGCGCACATGCGCACAGCTGAACTCAAGCGCAGGCCCACATTTTCTTGTGCCCGCTTCCATTCCCCAGTTCTCGGATTCATTTTGTTGCTAGCCTCTTCCAACCTTCTTGTCGCGGGAGGACATGCATCCCATGGGCGCATTTGCATGCTTCGAGATCAGCTCGGCTGATTTAGCTAAACCGGAAGTTGCCATTCCAGCACCCTCCGACTACCGTCTAATGTTATTTTCGGAACTACCGGGTATTTGGCAGTAATGAGGAGTAAACAGTCCATTCTACTGCTTTACTACTGCTAGCTACTGAACGCTCCTTCGATCCTTCTGGAGATAGGCCCCCGATTCGACATCCACGCCTCCTCGACTTTGGACATTCTGGTGGGCACCTGGCACGGCCCAGGGACTGCCCATACTTCTGGAAAAATAGCTTTGGGAAGGGCAAACTAGAATTTAGATGGTACATTTAAGGATACTTTAGATTGTAACTTAGATGGAAAGCACCATTTAAAAATGGTGCTTTAAGAGTACTTTAGGTTGTAACTTAGATGGAAAGCAAGAGCACTTTAGAAACAAAATGGTACTCTGTACTGGGCAACTCTGGGCGTCCGTTTCCACCAGTGAAACAGTTTACAGTCATGAGTCATCGCCATGCGACTGCCTGTTGCAAACGCGAAGAAAAGCCCCTGCGGACTGCCTGGGCCCTTGAAAGTGGTTGCATGTTCAAAGGTTCTCAACGACAAATGTGGCGGAGAATTAACCGCCATAGCTGGTTTTTTTGGAAAAATGCTGCAGGATTGTTCATCAAGCAACAACAAAAAACAACAGCTGTTCCTTGCCGAAGAACATGTTGTCGGTGGGGACTTCTGTTCCACGCTAGCAAATGCCAGGATAGCCAATGCGTTTGAATTATTGTAGAACTGCAACAAGGACATGCACAGTGCCCCAAACTTGCGGTGCTGAGACAACGCATTAGCAATGCGTTAAATGGTTGGATCTAGCGAAATAAAGCTACACACCGTTTACGTAAAGTTAGGAAGACCCAACTTACACAGAATCTAGCCTCAAGAAGTACCTCTATCAATTTATGTCCCCTTTGACATGCCACGAAACAAACATCCGATGAAAATCATGCGAGCATGGCCAAATATGTTTGAACCACTCTGCCTCAAGGCCAAGCAGGGTTTCAACTCGAGCTCTCTGGTGCAAACAAAATCTCAAGGAAAAGTATAATTCAAGCCCTAGGGGTCGGATCGCTGCAGACCTCTCAAGACCTACCGTAACTTTGGAGCCCCATCCGTCGATCGGACCCGGGAGATCAGAGTTTCTAGTACTGCTCGGAGGGCCTTGGTCACCCAAAACACGAGATACCCGCCTCGTCCCGCGTGGGCTGTGTCTCTTGACGAGTCTCAGTGTCGGTGTGTGCCTGGAGCGATGCACAAGACTGGTGCACGATTAATTCCCACATGTCACATAAAGAAAGCACCTGTAATCACACAACCCTGGCAATGTCTGGTAGTTGCGGTAAATTACACAATTTCATTTGCGCCTTACCTGCAATATTCAGGGCATCCACTGTGGCAACACCGACAGCGACTGAACTAAATGCCATCACATGCATGTTCCGACCCAATGACTTGGTCACCAACTCGGGTGGTCCTAGATGACCACTGTCCTGCAAAAAGGGAGCCTCTGCTGGGTTTGAGGTTTGTCGGGAGGGTGTCTCATTTCACCTTCCGCCCGGAGCACACCTCTTCCATCTCACTCCTTCCTTTGAAAGCAAAACCGTTGCTTTGCGGCAGCCCGCTGGCCACACCTCAAACGAGCCAAACTCAACACAACACGTGTCAACATAAGTTGCGAGCGGCTCGTGTCAAAATCTTCGGGACCCTTCCAAACGGGAGAGACAGGGAAAAGCGTGCGAGCTTTTGAGGTCGACCCAAAAAGAAACACCTACAAGTGTCTGGATGATGTGCAACCCAAAACCTTTAATTTAAGTCTTGTCTACCACCACGTGTTAACGATATGTTCAGTTTGCAGGCAAAGGCGCTTCAGATACTACCAATAGCTTGACCAGGATAAATCAGATTCAAGCCTTGAGACAACTTCAAATGAGTAGTTGTTCTCTCTTTTTTTATCTACAACCTACTCCCCTACAAAACGGAAGGAACCCGAAAGGGGTCTGATTCCCTAAGGGAGCTTCCTCTAGTGCTGGTGTGATGGGTTTGCACCCAAAAATTGTGTTTTTTTTGGGGGGAGTGAGCCCGGAAAATGGTGGTATGTTCCTGTTTCCCCTTTCAAACAACCCAAAAAAGGGGCATCCTCAAAAAAAACACACCCAAAACCGGCTTCCCGCAACGGTTTACACAACGGAAGCCGCATCTCTCGAGCTTGACCGGTTTCCGTTTCGCCTCTCGCGCCGGTGACGTGGGGCTCGGCTTGTCCGTGGGCACCGGCAGCTCGCTGGGGGACTTGGCCTCGCGAGTTTGCCGGCTCCAAATCCATCGAGGGTAGGGAAGCCCCGTGAATTGGTTTCAAACCCAGAACAAGGGGAACCCGAACTCACACGCCCATATGGCCCATTCATGTGTCATTCATTCTGTTTCGGCACGGAAATCGAAAAGGCATTCATTTCACTTCGGTGCGCCTGCAAAACCAAAGGTAACTTTTGGGAGTGGGTTAGGCAAACCAAAACCGGGTCCCTTGGTGCGCTTTCAGAATGGCTTTCTGGGCCATGTTCCAAAATCAAAATGTCAAAGGTCGAACCAGAAACCGTCCAAATTAGACACAATCTCTGAATACTGGCAAGTGGGCCAAGGCCGCCAAAGCTGAAATTCACATTGAACACGATTCACAGGAAGCCAAGACACATCTTAAATCATCTCATGGGATCGGACCCCGCTTGCAAAAAGAGCCTTCAGTTTCGGCAACTTCCAACGCCCAAGACCTGATGGTTCTTCGGGACTTCTTCGCTGCATGGGTGCCTCTTTTTTCCTATTAAAACTCCCCAAAATGGGGGGTGTTCCGGTTGGTGCTTCTGTAAAACCAACCAACACGGATACCCTCACAAAAACAAAAAAACATACCCAGATGGTTAGTAAGCCTAGATATAAAAGTTTTTGCGGGGCTTAGCCGGAGGTTACTTGAGGTTACTGCTTAGCCGCTCAGCTGTTAGTCCTCGACCATCGTCGAAAATTCAAGCACTGTCACGCCGCGTTTCAACGGGGGTCATGACCCGTTTTTGTCGAAGAGGAGAACAGCTGGTTCCTTTTGGCCTAGGTCGCGGTCTCACAAACAGGGGTGCCTTTTGGGAGAAAACTCTGCAAAACGAACCCAGCAATGGCCTGTTCCCCCCTAAACAAGTCCCGCAGCTTCTCAACTCGTGAGATAAACCAAGGTTCCTCAGAAGATGAGGGTGTCGCATCCCATGACTGCTGAACACATTGCTCCCAACAGACACGTGCAAACTAGGAGTTCTGCACACAGGGAAAAAAAAACGACCGCCCTCCCGGGGCCTGTTGCGCCCTCTTGGGTGGTGGGGGCGGCGCCGGAGGCAACCGCGACGGCGCCTGCCGGAGCCCGGGACGAGGTGCTGCGTGTGAGGCTTGGCTGGCAAATATGCGTATATATATATATATATACATATGTATGATTTACATACCTTCATCTGCTCTCTCCCTTAAAAAGACTAGGTGCTCACGAGTGTTCAAGCTGAACAGCAAAAAGTTAAAGCCCCCCCAAACAAACAAAGCAGTTCCGCCAATGTTATTCTTTTAGTTTTCATGGGTCCAAAATTCATTTTTGTTTTACGAGTTTTCTTCCATATACTCGCGAAACGCAAAACGTAAAAGTAAATCCACCAGTCCCATACCCCACCGGAAGACTTGTTTTACATCATGACAAATTACGTAGTTTACCCCAGCAAAAGGAACAACCCAAACTCCTTAAAGTAAGACTTGTGCTAGTTCAAAACTTCTGGCAGTTTTCCTTTGTTCCTTTCTTCTTTTACCGGGGACAAGTGAAAGAGTCAAACTGCCTGAAGCAAAAGTCTATTGCTGTTGGAAGTTGGAAGTGTGTAGGTTTCCTGTGGAAAGTAAAAGGACGGACAACTCCCTGACGTAAAACAAAAAACAAGCTTTAGTTGTTGTCGGTTTTGCTTGCATGGGACCAAAAGTTTGCTTGTTTACTTGTATACTTGTTTGCTTTTCGCAGTGGTGGTAAACAGCTAAAACTGCCTGAAGTGGAATCGCGCCCCTTTTCAGAGTTGTTTGGCATGTTATCCCTGTACTGGCTCTACGAGGCGGACAACCTAGGCTTAACAAAGCAAGTCCATATAGGAGTCCACAATGCTAAGTCAACATTAAACACGTATTGCACTAATGCTAAGGCAGTTGTCCGTTTTCACTTTCCCCAGCAAACCTATATAACACGAACACAACAGCAAAAAATAAGACAGTCTCTGAATCAGGCAGTTTCCCTCTTGTGCTTTTTATTTCCGGGACATGTAAAAGTTAAGAAAGGAAAAGGTAAACGGTTGCACCTATGAAAAAGTACAGCAACAAGTAAAACTGGCTGAAGTAAAACATGCTTTCCTCTTGAGGCTTTACTTTTTGAATGTTTACTAAGGAAATGTCAAAAACAACTATGCCTGAAGTGACACGACAAAAGTGTCAAATTGGGTGTGGTACTATTTGTTTACCTTTACTGGCGAACAGTAATACAAGTAACACTACGCGAAGCAAAAGACATACTTTTGGTAGTTCTACTTTTTACTTATCATGGCTGCAAGGGTTTTACGTTTTACCTGTTTACCTTTAGTTGGGAGAAGTAAAACAAAAGACTCCCTCAAGTGAAACAGCATTACTTTAGGAGTTCTATATGTTCACTTCTCATAGGGCCATAAGTTTGACTTTTTACTTGTTTACTTTTACTGGAGAATCGTGGAACAGTTGCCATAAACAAACAAATCGTCTCGGTTGCATGACGTTTGGGTGTTTGTCCAGAGGGTTTCGCGCAGGGCTATTGCACTTTCGTATGTGTGTGCGCGCATTTGCCCACTGTTGGAGTTGAACCGAAGGTGCCATCAAGAATCCTGTGGGAACTCTTGGGATACCTTGGGTTAACCGATGCCAAGAGGCATGGTCTCTTTCGCTTTCATCACCCCCCAAAAAGGGTGCCCTGGACCAAGACCTACCCATATTGCCTAGAAGAAGCCTGAGAATAGGCTCCACTAAAGGAGAACTCCCCTTGTTTCAGCTTGTGTGCTGGGAGGGATGAATCTTTTTGCTAGTGTTGTTCAAAATCAATTAAATGATTAGATAAGGAAGTTGATGCTTCTGTTAAACCCAAAACAATGGACAGGGACCTGGGCTGCCCTCAGATCCCCCACTAAAAGTTTAACTTTCATTGGGCTAAATGGAAACTACCACTAAACACTAAAAGGCCAAAAAGCTAAGGAACCGGATGGCTGGGAGCCACCAAGGGATATGGGTCAAATCAAACCAGGGAACCGCAGGTGTTAGTCCTTGTTTCCATTTTCCAGGGTTCCAGTTGCACCAATTTTTGACCCACGCCCATATCAATGGACAGGGGCCAAAGGAAAAGGGCGGCCTCCTCTGGCCGCCGCGCGGGGGAGGTGGGGGAAGGCTTATCCGTCGGCACCGGCAGCTCGCTAGGTGAGGGGCGCTGGCCCTGGCGTGAGCTCAGCATGAAGGGTCCGAGCCGATTTCTCCATCCCAAAGCAAACCCGAAACACCAACAATCGAGAAACAACCCCAAGAAATCCCAAGAAACATGTCGCAACATTTCATAGAAACATGCCATTCTTTTCGACGTACCTTGGCACCAACTCAGAAGGCGATAATTAGGTGATCTGGATAAGAGCTATTGGTTCCCTAATAACTAACCATGGATACGATACAACCTTTCCTAACCTTTGAAATTTCTATGTTATGTGGGTTGAACGAATCTCATAGTTCCTGGCGCCCCTCCCCGAACGACCCAAACACATCAACCCCGGAAAATTCTGTTTAGCTGTTCCAAAGACGTGGAAACCCCTCGAAGAAAACACAAGAACTAGACCGGACACATGTGGCTCCTCCTTTTCTGAGGGAGCCCTTTGGCTGGTTTTCACAAACAAAAAGGCACCGGGATAAGAACCAATTTTGAGGGTCGCCAAGTTTGAGACAAAGCCATGTGGCAAATGACTCCATTGAAGTTTTGAGGGACCAAGATAAGTATGAGAAAACAAAAGAAGACGCATCCTTCAAACCCAACAGGGTCTTTAGCCTACGTAAAGCGACTGGTCCGTAAAGGTGGTCGTCTCTCATTTCAAGGTTTTTGGGGGCAAGTGAACTACAAGAACGGCACAGCAGGCAGGATTCTGAAGGCTGATCCCTTCTTGGTTCTCTTCACTGTTGGTCTCCCAAGACCCTCTCAAACAGATCGAACTTTTGGGTTCCCGGCAAGGCAATCTGCAGGCCGTTCCGTAGCATTCCAGAAATTTGGGTGGTTTCGTGGTCGGATCGCCTTTTGTGGGTGTTTTGCCCATCTAATCAGGAACCCGCCTCCCCTTGCCAAGCGGGGAACGAATCGGACTCAGCTCCGGAGTTTACTTGAGGAACCTCACCTCGTAGCTTCTCTGCCACGAAAAAAGGTAGCCCAACAAGTGAGCCACAATCGAAACCTGGTACAAAAATGGTGAACCCAGAACCATGTAAAGAATTAAGAAGGCGGAATTCCGCAACTATTTCTGGCTGGGACTGCCCCTTACTAACCTTCATCTACCCGGGTTTTGAGCACGTGGCTCAAGTGGTACTGAAGCCCAGGAACTAGGGTGAGGTATTCTTGAAATCTATGAATGCGGTTGGTCTTAAATGTGTGTCAACATATTCTCGGTTGCTTTCTGCTCCTGCTAAAAGTTTAACCTTTTGTGGTTTAATGGAAGACCCAGTAGGTGGCAAACAAACAGTGAAAGTCCTAACATCCAAGCAAAATGCGCCAAAGTATTTGTTGCGGGGTCCACCTTCCAACGCGATCCGGCCTCAAGTCTGCGGCGTACCACTGGCGGGAAGGAGACAGGAGCGTCGTCCTTGCCGTAGCTTTTGCCTTGCGGTTTGTCTCAGGACAACTTGACCCCCAAATGCTTGCTCTGCTTTTGTCACGTGGATCTGAACTTTCTCCTTGGACTTCCCATCGTGCGAAGCCCAGAGAAGTGAGGAAAAGAAAGCGGGCCAACACAAGACACACACCAATTGCCAGCCATTTATGTTTCTCACACTTACAGCTTGGTTTCCAAAGTAAGCGAGCCATAATTAAAACCTAGCATTCACAAGTCTGCCCAAAACTAATGGAAGAGGGCAGAACCCCACAACTATCAATGAATTAAATCGTTCAGGACCTGGACTCAACAAGGGCGAAACTGGAAAGCCTGTTTCGCCCGAAGGGAAACCAGAAAGAAAATCACAAGCCAAACCCCAAAGGAGCTGTGCTTTTGCATGCTCTCATTTTGTCCAATGAAAACTGTTCAATCTCCCGCCGACCCTTCCGCGGCGTGAACCGTTGCAGCCGAGGGTTTATTTTGCCTCCGGACGGCCAGAGTTTTGATCATTCTGCAGATTGTGTTGCTAAACGCAGAAACTTTCCGCGCTTCCGCAAGGAAAACCGGTCAGCGAACCTTCCGCGACTCTCTCTTGGTAAAGCGACCAAATCAAAAAAATACAAAACGCTACTCTAAGCCCGAAAGCAAAAAAAGAAGAAGCCAAAACAACAAAAATAGCTTGATTTGCTCTGTGCAACTAAGTTGCCATAGTCCTTGCCAGCACCTTTGAAGCCCTTGCCATCGCCCTTGTAGTCCTTGCCAGCACCTTTGAAATCCTTGCCAGCGCCTTTGAAATCCTTGCCAGCGCCTTTGTAATCCTTGCCAGCGCCTTTGTAGCCTTTGTAGCCCTTCCCATCGCCTTTGTAGTCCTTGCCAAAGCCTTTGTAATCCTTGCCAGCGCCTTTGTAATCCTTGCCAGCGCCTTTGTAGCCTTTTCCATCGCCTTTGTAGCCCTTGCCATATCCAGAACCACTCGAGCCCCCGTAGCTGAATCCGTAGTCGTAGCCGGAACCCGGCTGAAATCGAGGAACCACCTGGGACTGGCGGGCAAGGCATGTGAGTTGACAAGCTAACAGGCAAGCACAAGAAATCACGAGCAAACGAAGAAACCCATTTTAACGAGGAACTCACAGGAAGCACCTGAGGCCCAAAGCCAAACTGTAGATGTGACCAGTCGTTTTCCTCTGCTTTCCAAGATGCAAGCGTAGTCAAACCACATGCAAAAGAAACAAACGACAGGATTCGGTGGATTCTTGCACGGTTGCCGGATGGACAAAATCCACTTCGCTCCAGTTGGTAGGTGGTTTGTCCCAGTATTCATAGGGCTTCATCCCAACTGGTGCGTTGCGTGGAAATTGTTTATTTACAGCAGGACGGTGTGACCTCTGGGAGGGGCATCCACGCCTCCAACTATCCAAAGGCTCAACCATGTACACCTGGAGTAGGTGCCCTTGAGTCATACCACGCATCCATATAATCACTTCATGATTATTGTATGAATCTGTCAGGTTTCAAGGTACCTTTTTTGGCACATGCCCCATGTAGCACTTCGGCAAGTTGACACTTGCCCGTGGCAAAGCCCGCCTCCAGTGGCTGCACATCCTCCTCCTGACTGCTTCTGGGAGCCAATGAAGCAGCCGCGGTTGACTGAGCTTACCATTCCTATCAACTTAAAGCTCCCACAGGTCGACTTCCATTTGCTTAAGCCCCTTGGAGAAAGTACACACATATTTCCAGTGGTGATAAATTCGCTTCAAATCGAACACTGGGACATAAAACATGTTCTAAAGCAAATGGCAGCATGCCCATTTGTAGATGAGTCTCCTGTCGAAAGGCCTCCAGCATACATCTGCCAATCACTACTATTTTCCCGGGCAGCTGCGCAAAACATGGCCCCACCCTTAAAGGGGGTGGACGGGGGGGGGGGTGAAATTTCACATGGACGGGGGGTCCATAGCAGATTTCATTTATTTCGGGGGGGTTTGAGGCCTTGAAACCCCCAAGAAACATCAAGAAGCCAAATGAAGCCAAAGATGTAATATGGCGCAACTTTCTGCGCGCACCTCCGCAAGCCGTGAGACTTTGTTGGTTGTAGTGTCAGACCGCGGATTGCTTCCATTTGCTTCCACACCGTTGTCGCAGGCAACAAACAGAAAAACTGTGAAAAACTGACAACACCGAACTTCCCAAATTCTGGCAGACAACGGCTCGCTCTTCAAGAACTCAGCGTGCTCCCAAAGGCACGACCAGCTGATTTTGCTGGCGTGCTCAGATGTCGTGCCTGGCGCGCCAGACTGCCAAAACACGCAGAGTCCTGCGTCCTGATTTGCCCAGTTTTTGGGGACTTTTTTGAGGAAAACCATGGAAAACATTGGAAAACCGCAACAGACTTGGAGCCATGTTTTTCTGAGGGGCGAACCCTGAGGAAGTTTGCTAGGCAAGTAGCCAACATGGACTTGAACGCCTATTTGTTGGGGGGGCATGGGGGGGGGGGGGAAGACCATGGGGTCCATATGGGTCCATACACGAACTGATGGCTACGTTCGATCAACCAATGCAAGTGGCAACGCCCGTTGCAAAACATGTCGGGCAGGCTTGGTTCGAGCTGGGTTGGCATGGGCTGGCCTCAAGCGCTTCTGCTGCGACTAGCAAGAACTCCACAAGTATGCCCACATATGCCCACACGCAAATGCAAAAAGTTGCGATTAAGCTGCAAAGTCGCTTTTCTGCCCCACTTCTGCCCCACCCCTGCTGCGCAAGTGCTTGGATCAATTTTGATCACTCCCGGCAGCAAAACCTCATCTTACCTCCATTTGCATGAGGCGCGTGAGAAAACGCTTTCCAATATGCAACAATATGCAACACTTCTTAGCTGTGGCGGGTTCTGATTGCAAAGCGCCACAAACGACTGAGCTAACGTGGGCAAATGGAAGCGCTTAGGCTTGAGGTCTACCCATGTCTACCCTAAGATGGCTTCACCATCAGCACCGGAGGGCCGAGGTACTCCACATGTTTCGCAAAAGCTGCCACCCGCTTCAGTGCTGCCTCACCTCGGCACCAGTGAAGGCGAAACGCAGATTTCAAGAAAAAGGATGAAAAAAAGACCGACGGAAAAGGGCCCGGCAGCATGTTGTTATTTCTATATATGTCTATATATTTCTGATTCTTTCTGTGTATTTCTTCAATTTTCTATGATTTTCTTCATCATCTACCACGGCCATCCACGGCCATCTATTCAGACATGTCCGGATATATCCGGACATATCCGGACACACACACACACACGCTCGGACGCACACACACACACACACAAAAGAAACAGTGGATCCTACAAATAGAACAAGGACACACGCACAAACGCCTGCCCAACTTAAGACAAGGTTTCAACATCTTTCAACGACAGGTGCTGGCAAGGAGCAACAGCCAGCGTCAGGAGGCGTCAGATCTTGCAACTTCCGGATCACAGCTGCTCCATATTTGGCCAGTGACTCTTTCTCCAGAACCACCTGGAAATAGCCGGGGGCCTTTGCGCACACCTGCTCCCAGGAGGTTAGGAGCGGAAATCGGCTGCCCCTGTCAGCGAAGAGGCGCGGCAACTTCTGCAAGTACGTCTGTGTGTTCTTGGCACCGACCGCTGACCGCCCAAACTGCGCTGGAGTCATGCACACCGCTGGGGGCGGATTGTCTTTCACCGGGTCTGGGTCATGCTCAATGTCGAGGTCACCAGAATCCAGCCGTGTGAGGATGCTGGCTTCCGAGTGACCAATCTTTCCAATGAGCATCATGTTGTGCCGCAAAACCTTGACTCTCGGGAGCTCACCGTAGACAAATCCCACTGGGCTTACGCGGTCCACAGGGTCAAGGGGAGAAGCCATGTACACGCGCTCTTGCTTCTCGCTCAGGCGCAGCACGTGTATGAGGGACGTACCGGTGGCCAGCCTTGGAAAAAGCGGGAGGAGCTCCAAAATGCATCAACCATCCCCCTACTGCGAAGTCTTGAAACATATTGAAGAAACTTGAAAAATAATATACAAAATATTACACAATGTTGAATATGAAAGAAAATGAAAGAAAGCAACAAGAAGCCGATACGATTCGATTTGACACAGTATGACACCCAGACTCACTAAGGAATACCAAAAATCCAAGAGATACACCAAGGCATGTGTCAGCAAATGTCAGCGACACATATCAACAAGTGGACATGAATGGATTTCAAGGGACCCAGTGTGACCCAATTGATCCCAATTGCACACACGATTCACATGCACGCGCTCTAGTTGCGCTTGCATTTGCAGATATTTGCAGGCATATGATGGCATATGCAAATAAGTGCAAATGTATGGAGACATGTGTGGAGACATGTGCTGCGCAATGCTGCGCACATGCGCAGACATTGCCCTCGATAGAAAATACAATGAACATATATGAAAAATATATAAAATATTGAGACATAGTAGAAAGGTTTTTCTTCGAACATCTTCGAACTATCCCAGCCCAAGTCATCAACATTCGGGACGGCGGTCTCAATATGGCCCAATCAGATGTGGACTCGCTGCAAGCTTCCTGATTCCTTTCAAAAAAAAAAATCAAAAACCAAAGTGCTTTGCCATGGCTTGAGCATGCTTGAGCTTTGCTCCGCGCTAGAGCGGAAGATTTCCGAACATTTCCAAACCACACGTAGGACACGAGATATCATGAGATACTACATGACATTTCTGAAGCCAGGACTTCCTTCTCAATGTCCATTGCATCACCCGGCTGACCCCCAAAAACCCCGAACAGCCCAAACCTGTCAAGTTAGGGACAAGATGGAACAAGAAATTTCAAAATATTTCAAATGAATGCTTAAAACATTTGCTGCGCTCAGGGGCCAAGAGCCAGAAACCGGTCTTCCTTGGCGAGCTGTGGTCACGCCCTTGACCTTTGAGTGGGACACCGCGCTCTTGAACACAGAGACCACCAGACCGACTCGGATGGCAAAGCTGGCTCCGTTGATGGCAGTTTTGTAGACGATCACCTGCGCGTCGTCAAGATTCATGTGCCTGTACTCTGTGACCGGCGACAAGTGCTTCTTGTCCTTTGGCGCATCTCTACAAGCCCTTTCTGCAAGGCGCTCCTGGCTGGCTATCCACCCCGCCTCGCGGGACTTCTTCTGACCGGAGAGTGTGCTTTTTGCCCGCGCGACAGCCAGCAAGTGCTCTGTCTGGTTCCACTCGCTAAGGCCCGCCTTCTTGCTGCTGTCAACCTGCGCTGGGCTCAGGATTTTCTCGTTGATCCGAACCTGGGAGGCAAACTGCTTGATGACACTGGTGAGAGCAGCAAGGCGGTCCAGGATCTTGCCGGACTCACCAAAGGCGCCTGGGTTCGACCTCACTGCTGCTGCCATGATGCCTGCAAGAGTTCGTGGCCCTGCTGGCTTTGCAGTCTGCACTGGATCAGGCTTGTGTGCAGTCTGCACTTGCGCTGCCAGATCTGTAGCGTGGCTCGGCCCTGACACATCCGCAAGCGTAGCCGCCGGCCCTTCAAGCCCCCCCTGCAGCGCTTGGATCTCATTTTGACATGAGATGACATCTTCTGCTCTCATCAAGCGAGCTGCCACTGCATCCGACTCTGGACCAGCCTCTCCTTCGATGGGCATCTCAAAGCATTCCTCATCCGAGTCAGTGTCGGAGTCTGGCGCAGCATCTGCTCCAGAACCGATGAAGGTGGCTCCACCATTGTTCCACCATGTCTCAAGATGAGACTTGCAGTCTTCAGGCTTGCAGTCCACGGAAACTGCGGCTTGAAGCGAGCATGCCTGCAACAGCGCATCCTGCGCAACCTGCTGGTATTTCTCTGAGGAGAAACCACTGTGGTAAGGGCGCGCCTTGGCTGCGTACAAGCTGAAAAACAGCACATGAACGCACATGAACAAATGGATGCAAATGGCTCAGCGCGAACAACATGTGGCCTAAACTCTTTGCATCTCTTTGCCAAGGAGCAGGGATCTTTGAAAATGGAGCCCCTTCCCTCGCTTGCCTCAGATGTGACCTCACCGTGCCATATAGCCCCTGCTTGAGGCTTGGAGTCCCTCGAAAACTTTCCTTTACCGTTGAAAAGTGGCTCTCGCAAATTCTCTCCTCCCGCCCTCGTGGCCAGAATGGACATTTGTCATCGGCAGTCCAGAAGATAAGGCTATGGACAGCGTGCGCGCATAGCTGCAAAATATTTCGGCAAGTCGTTCTTGCCAGCCAATGCTTCTCCCACTCTTTGCCGAAGGCTTCCTGGTTGAAGGAAATGCAAAGAAGCATCCAGTAGTGCAAGGACAGGCTGTTGTGCAGCTGCTCCTCTGGAGTGAAGCCTGCCGCGCATCACAACTGGAAGCAGCCACAACCAACTGACGGGGCAATAGGGGGGCAGCATGGGGAAGCAAACGTCAGCTGTCACTTGCTGTCATGCATCCAAAAAGAAAAGCAAGCCTGTCTGCCCACAATAAACATCAACAAGCTCAACATAACTCAACAGAGCCCCGACATGCTGCAAAGAACTGCAAAGAGCAACACCACTTGCATCTCGCACATCATGTGTCACATTGGGCCACGGCATGTCACAGCCGGTGGGCGCAA